AGGAGGGGGAAGATATACAAGGTATCTGCAGGAGAAGTTATAAAAAGCATGCAAAAAATTGGACCTAATTAAAATTTTATTAGAGAATATTAATAACTATAAACTGTCAACATTATATGCCTACTCTCCCAACTATGTAAAACATTTATACAAATCATCTATGTACTAATCTAGGGCATCTTTGATAAAGTTATTAATAAGAAACAATCTACAAAATTCAGCAATGGACCACACCTTTACCATTTTACAATGAATTGAAAGAAGTTTTTTAAAAAAGATCTCAATGTGCTCATTATTTATTGATTAGCACCCCAAAAAATTGACTTGGTAGCATACAAAGCTACCTTATAGGCTCTTTTACAAAAAAGTATCTCAAATCCATACATCAAAGTCATTCAAGATTCCTTGAAAGATACAAGAACAGAAATAGCCCTGTTCAACTACCTTCTGGTCATTAACATAATAAAAAAATGGAGATGTATTCTAACCAAAGGTGCTTGACACTGGGATGAAGGAATGCCAGAGCAGAATCTAAATAGAAAAAGGATTTCCTGCAAATGATGAGATATGCCAGATGCTCCAGCTTGCAGATGACATCGTGGTGATTTCCTCAAACCCCAGGATATTGTAGAACATCCTAGACAAGATTTGTAATCCAAAGGCATTTAGCCTGACCATCCACACAGGGAAGATTAAATGGCTGAATAATGCCTGGTGCCCAGGTTATAATATGCATTGGGATAGATAACCAATAAAGCTTGTCCCTAAATATATACATATACACACACATATATATGTATATGTATATTATGCATACATATATGTATATGCATGTGTGTGTATATACATATATATAAATATATACACATGTGTGTGTGTCTGTCTGTCTGAAAAAACAAATTGAACCAGAGTGGAAAAGAATGAGGAAAATGTGATAGATTGTCTTTGAGAAATTGCAAAGCTCCTTTAATGAAGCTTTCAATTTTCCCATGAAAGCAAAAGTCCATCTCTTTAATACCAATCCTCCAGTATTGCTATAAGCCAGTTAAGATAAAGAATACAACAATCTTTGAAGAATTAAAACTTAATATCACAGTAGGGGCAATGGCAAGGCATATGGTAGGTATGAGAATGTTACAACATATAATCAATGAGGAACTCAGAAGAAAAACAGGAGTAAAGAGATAATCAAGAAATTCTAAGATAACAGCAAGAAAATATGAGCTGGTTATGTGTCTGTGTCATTAGTACCTACCATAGGTACATAGGTACCTATAGACAGTAGGTACTTAATAAATGCTTGTTGGGTAGCTAGGTGGTGCAGTGGATAGAGCACCGGCCCTGAAATCAGAAGTACCTGAATTCAAATTCGGCCTCAGATCAAACACTTGACACTTACTAGCTGTGTGACCCTGGGCAAGTCACTTAACCCCAACTGCCTTAAAAAAAATAATGCTTGTTGAATAAATGAATGAATGATGAGGTGGTTCCTAACAAAGGCATGGGGAAGGAGACAACCTAAGTTGTTTTATACGTATGTTCAACCCATAGTTCCATCACATTACCAGAGCAAAGAACCCTCTTCTCTTTTACTTCCACCCTCTTCCAGATTGTCCTTAGTGTTTTCTATAATCTGATTTCATATGTGTTCTTGTGGGTATGTACATAGTGTGATTTGTCCCGGGCAGAATTCCCCTGGGGATGGTCTTGCCCACTCCTGATGTTGTCCATAAAGATGGATTTTTTCAAGATTTATTGTTTTTAATGTGCAGTAACTATACATCTGGGAAAACGAAATATGCTTTATGTAGTTTTGCAAAAGGTACTTCCTTTGTCAAACCAAGTTTTCTGATTTGACTTTTGAAAACTATAGTCTCTGTAGACTTTAGGGAGGGTGAGGAGAGGGTATAAAGGATTAACTAGGTCCAAAGGTGCCCTAAATGATCCCATAACTACTCTGATCTCCCCAGGCACCCAGGAGAGAGGGTGATCTGGGTGTAAGACAACCTCCCAGAGGGGGAGGCTAAGGGGCCAGTAAATTAGTCATTAGTCTCACTAAACCTGACTTTATGTCAACTCCAGTAGTTGAACATGACAAGCCAAGCTCATACACATAGCTTAATATCTATTTGTACATTCCATTGCAACCATTATTTCTCAAGACAATGGGAGCTTTTAAATGGATAGTAAGAGTCTCACACCCAGAGAAGGAGTCAGTCAAATTCCCATGATACCAAGACAGAGAGTAAGGGCAATGTTCCCAATGAAGGTCATTGCTGCTCCCTCCTTCCCAACCTCCAACAAAAACAAGTGCAAAAAATGGGGCAATGGGTTGGAATGTCAATGTTAGGGAGACCTAACTATATCTAATGTGACTAAAACCATCTGAGGGACTAAATATCAGTTTTGCTACACTCGTTATAGAATTCCCTGTCATTTGAGAGTCATCAAATCACAGATCTGAGCTGGAAGGACCTTAGAGATCATCTAGTCCTACCCTTACCCTGCCCCATTTTATAGTTGAAGAAACTGCAGCCCAGGGATTTCAGGGAAGTGATTTTCCCAAGATCACACAGGTAATAAACGTGCTCCTTTGATTCCAGATTCAGTACTATTTCCCATGAACCAAAATGTTTCACCATGGTGTAATGAAAGAGAATTATAGAGGGATTCTAGAAACCTGAGTTCAGGTCCTGGCTCCATCACTTAGTAAAAATTGGGCCATAGACAAATCACTTAATCCCCTCTGTATCTGAGCTGCCTCATCTGCATAATGAAGTGGATTGACTAGGCATTCCATTTCCTTCATTCTTGCCTGGGATGCTCTTCTTGCTCACTTCTGCCTCTGAATACTTAGCTCTGTTCAAGCATCAGCTACTACATAAGGCCTTCCTCTGATTCCTCCAAGCACTATAACTCTTCCTCCACCCCCCCACCCCCTACTCCCCCCCCACCCCATCCCATTACTTTATTTTTATATATTTACATATATATACACACATATACTTATTCATATTTATTTTTCTTTGTACTTGTCCTGAGGAGTATGTAAGCTACGCATTTTTGTCTTGGTATTATCAGTACCTAGCTCATAGTAGGCACTTTTAGTGCCTACTTTAGTAAAGCACTTTAGTCGTCTTAGCACTTAATATATACTTCTTGAATGGAATTGAATTACTCCTTCAACTTGGAAAATTCTACAATTTTGACTCAAATGTTTGGGTCATTTGCAATAATCAAAAATATCCTTAATGGAACTGGTGCTTAATGAATTAACCTCTGGAAAGATAGGGGTATGGCACTTTTAACGTTGACTGGTCTGACTCATTAAAGGGACAGCTACAAAGCTGAGCTGAGTTGAGCTTGGACAAACAACAGTGCAGTCTGTTGTTCTCTACTGGGGAGGACAATACTAAGGTCTACTCTGCCATCCTAACAGGGACATTGTTGCTGGAGAAAAGGGCATTGTGGTCAAATGGAGAAAAGAAGCCAGCACTTCAATGGGGCAAATTGTATCTGGAGTCATAGAATCCTAGAATGTCCTAGCTGGAAAGGACTTTAGAGATAATTTAGACCAACCCCCTCATTTTGCAGATGAGGAAACTGAGGTCTATATAGGAAATCTGTGTACCCAAGATCACACAACAAATTACGGCCAGAGCAAGGTCTCCTGACAGTTGACTCCATCACATTACTATGGGCATGGATGCCATTTAAATTCACAATCAGAAATCCAAGATCCCAGTAAGACTGGAATCAAAGATCACAAGACAGTGTGGTATAGTAGATACAGTGCTTTGGTCTGGGATTCCTGGAATGAATCACGAAAACTTGTGTTCAAACCCTGCCTCTGATACTAACTGGGTACCCCTGGGCAAGTCACTCAGACTTTTCGAACCTTTTCCAAATTTGTAAAACAGAGATAGGGAAGGATTGGAGAAAGGATCAAATGAGATAAAATATGTAAAAGTCTGAGTAAAACTTTAAATCATTTTATCTGTGTTAGATATTATCATGCAAAAGGACTCATCGAATTGAATCCAACTCATTCCGGTTGCCTGACTCTGTCTTCCAAAAGCTGGTCAAAGGTTCTCTTCACTCTAATCTGCTCCCACAAAAATCAGAGATGGTCCGAATTGGACAGGGCCAAATAGATCATGTAGTACAATCCTTTCTTTTTACTTTAAGAAACGTGCTCAGATAAGTGAAATGGCTTGACCCAGATAGCTACTGCCAGAACTGGAACTGAGACCCAGGTATCTTGACTCCTACTACTCCATTCCTCTTCCCAACAGCATCACCACCTCCCTCCCGCATGTAACAAGCTTATTTTGCCTTGACTCAATCCAAGACCTGATAAGTCTTTCCAGTTTCTCAGGCAGTTAGGCAGACGCTTTCTTTTATTTCATTAACTGGACGGCTGCCCAAAACCTAAATTGGTAGACTTGTACGACCTCATCCCAATTACACCAGTGGCAAAGCAGAACTTCTAAAGAGAAGAGAAAGTGGCCTCAAAGGGGTGAGCTGAGAGTGGCCACACAGAAGGAAAGAAGCAAGGCAGAAAAAAGATGAAAGAACGAATAGGTGATTAAGCTGATCCCGACTCCAGAGGAGGAAAAGGTGAGTCACACTGCCAGTTCGACTACTTTTTGAGTACAGTCCCTGATTCTAAAGGATCGCTTGCATATTAAAATAAGTTTTTACAAAGTTATACCAAAGTGATGAAAAGTCCCATTTGGCGATGCCAGCAAGTGCAGAACTCGGGCGGGATTTCTGAAGTTAATTTCCACAGAACCTCCCTCCCTAGGAAGATTCCTCTCCCTCTCTCCTCACTCAGCCCAAGAGGATCCTCCCCGCAGCCGGGACCCAGTCCCCTTCCCGCCCCGCCCAGCCTCACCGCCACTCCCCATCCACTCCCTGGGCCCGTGCCGGACCCTGTCACTCACCAAAGAAGAGTCACCCACTGGCAGCTTCTCCCGAACCTAGGTCCAGAGGTGCGAGCCGGGCCTGCCGGGGACCGCGCGCTGCCTCCACTGCCACCAGAGCCCGGGCAGTCGCTGCGCCCGCATCCCCGGCCCCGCACGCGGAGCCTGAGCCACAGCTGCCCCATGGAGACGCGGGGAAGCAATAGCAGCTGTGAGAACGGTGCGCCTGGGATCTGGTCCAGGGAGGGGGGCGAGGGGCCAGAGAGCTCCAGGTGCTGGATCTAGGGGTCCTGGGGGGAGGGAGGGAAGAGGATGGGTTTGAAGAGGTGCTGCTCTTTCTACCTTAGGGCACCCACCTCACTCGCATTTCCCCAAGCCAGGCTTTCTTAGAATCTGGGCAAAGGGGCCTTACAGATCCCGAGCGTAAGTCACCCAGTAAGTAGCTCGGAAAGAATGAACTGGGCTGCGTCTGGTGACCTGGGCGCGACTCCCAGATCCTAGGATTTCGAATATCAGTCAGTCAGTCAGTCAATAAGCATTCATTAAGCTCTTCTTATGGAAAATGGAGGAGCACTGAGAGGCCAAAACACGATTCGTGCCCTCGAGGAGCTCACTTTCTAATGAGGGAGACAACATACAAACTACTCAGTACATACAAGATGTATACAGTGTAAATGGGAGATGATCCCAGAAGGAAGGCAGCAGCAGGTTGTACTGGGAAAGGCCTCCTACAGAAGTGTGAAGAGTCAAGTGTTGGAAACCAAGAGGCAAAGGTGCGGAGGCAAAGCATTCTAGGCATGGAGGACAGCTAAGGAAAGGCGTGGAGTAGAAGGGACCATCCTCTGTGAGGAGTGTCCCAGGGTCATATGTACATCATGGAGGGAAGCAAAGTATAAGAAGACTGGAAAGGTAGGAAAGGACCAAATTGTAAAGGGCTTTAAAAACCAAATGGAGGAGTTTATATCTGGCCCTGGAGGTTATGAGATATGCCCCTAGAGTTTAATGTGTTGGGGGTCCATGACAAGGTCTGACTTTAGCAGGCATAGTTCAAACCCTTCATTTCACAAGATGAGGAAACTGAGGCTTATAAGAGGGTAAGCAATCTGCTGGTGGTATGACAGGTAGGATTCATCCCACCCAGTTGCATCAGAGAGAGGATTTGAACCCTGTTCTGACTCCAGAACCAGTGCTCCTTCCACAATACCATGCTGTTGTTGGCAAAGCTGGAACCCCAGACCAGGTCTCTTGAACCCCAGATCAATTCCCTGGCTGTTGTACTTACCCTCTCCACACACCAAGAAAAAGCAGTTGCCCTCTAAATGTCTTTTCTCTTAAAGATCAGTTCTCCCAAATTCTCACCCCAGGCCTTACTTAGGATTGTAAAGGAGTCTATGGCTTCATAGGATCATGGGATGATAAATTTAAAGCTTGGAACAACCTTAGAGCTTATCTACCCCAGCCTTTCCCTTTTTTTCAGATAAGGAAACTTCTTCCTGAACTAGAATTTGAACTCAGGTCTTCTGACTCCAAATCTGGGATTTTCCCCGCTATATCCCAAAGCCAGGCTCAGGGGAAGAAAAAAAAAAGGAGTGGTGGGACTTCCCACCAAGAGAAACACAAGGAAAAGAAAACACTATTTATCTACCTCTGGTATATGGATTATATCAAATTCCTGTTTGCCCTCATCATACACTTAGATTTTTTAAAATAAGTTTTTGTTGTTATTTTCTGTTCCTTACATCACCATGTATCCCTCTCCCTTTCCCTCCCTGAGAACCATCCCATATGACAGATGGGGTGTTGGGTTTTTTGGAAAGGGGGGACAAAAGTCAGCACAACTTATTAATACATTAAAAAGTCTGAAAACATGTTACATAGTGTGTAACACCTGTGGACCTCTCACCTCCATGAAGGGGTAGGTTGGAGATTTCTTCTCATATCTTTTTATTCAAGGCACACTTGATCTTTATAATTTTGTTACATTTACTTTGGACTTTTTTTTATGTGCTATTGTTCTTTCCATTTCCACTATTGTAGTTATGGTATATACTGTTTTCTTGACCCTGCTTACTTTACTCTGCATCAGTTCATATAGATCTTACCATGCTTCTCTGTATTCATCACACACATCATTTCTTCCAGCACAGTAATATTCCATTATATCCACATAGCACAATTTGTTTAGCCATTTCCCCAATTGATGGGCATCTAATTTGTTTCCATTTCCATTTCCATATCACAAAAAAATGCTGCTATAAATATTTAGAAGTATATGGGGACTTTTTTCTTATTGATGGCTTCCTTGAGGAATAAGCCCAATAATAGAGTCTCTGCTTCAGAAAGGGTATGGGCATTTTAGTGCCCATTTTGCATAATTTATTTGCATAATTCTAAATAGCTTTCAAAAATGGTTGTACTACTTTACAGTTCCAACAATGTATGGTCCCATAACCCCTCCAACACTGGCTGTGGCCATTTTGTGTCACTTTTGCTAATATTCAAGCCACATACACTTAGATTTAAAGTTTAGAAGGGATTTTAGGAATCATGTAATCCAATCCCCTCATTTTTACAAATGAGGAAACTGAGACCCAGAGAAAGTAAGTGACTTGCCCAAGTTCATACAGGTAAAAAAGGGGCAGAGTCAGGATTTAGAACCAAGGTCTTCTGACTCCAAATACGGCTCTTTCCATTGCACCATCTGGACATTTGTGTTAACCCAGAATCTAGAAGCCAGCTTTAATTCCTCCATAGGAATGTACTATTCTACTTGCCTTCACACTTCTTTAGTTTCATTGGGGGCAGAAAAAAGTATTACCTAATTACAGAATCTCAGAGCTGGAAAGAGACTTTGAGCTTATCTAATCCAGTGGTGTCAAACTCAAATAGAAATAGGACGTCTAATCCATAGAGAAGGATTCCTGTGGGTCACATATTAATTGAATTTTAAAATGTAAAATTATCTATGTTATATTGTATTTTATTTTTTGTTATGTTATTTCCCAGGAGTATTTTGGACAATTAATCAATAAATTAAGCACCTACTCTGTGCCAGGCACTGTGCTAAGCAGTGGGAATACAAAGAGGCAAAAAATAGTCCCTGCCCTCAAGGAGCTTACAATCTCATGGGGACAGCATGTAGCCCACATGTTTGACACTTCTGATCTAGTCTAAGCCCTCACTTTATAGAGGAAGAAACTGAAAACTTCTTGGAATTTCATTTTATTTCATCTTCAGCCCTCTCCCAAGTCGTTTGTCCTTGTGAGAGAACCAGGTCAAATTATTAATCTTAAATAAGTGAAAAAGTGTTTATAATGTGCCAGGCTCTGCTGAGTGCTGGAGAAACAAATAAAAGCAGTCCTGACCCTGGAGGAGCTTCAATTCTAATAGATCATTCAGACTCCAAGGATTTTTTTCCTTTACAATGCTTCTTAAAAGGAATAGAATTCCTGGTCAGGCCTAGATACCTCCTAATCCTAGGAGATCCTATTCCACAAAAAGCTTTTTGGCTATATGACTCTAGACAGACTTGAGGAAAGACTGGAAACACACGAGGTAATTTGATTAGCTGCCTATGAGTCCTAGGTCTGGTCACCCTAGTTTCTGGGCTTGCTTCCCTCAGTCCTTTCTCCCCCTTAGGCTCTTGCTCACTTCCTCTACCCTGGGAACTCCCCAGATTTCTATCTCTTTGAAGGATGGGGAGAGAGTTAGCAACTCAAAGTTGGTTTGATGCAAGATGGAGACTGGAATTGACACAGAGGGTTTGGGAAGAAAGCCAACCTGGGACTCAGGAAGGCCTGAATGCAAGTACCACCTGAAACTTTCCTGGTTGTGTGACCCTGGACAAATCACTTAATCTTTCAGTGCCTCCAAACTACTCTAAGAGCAGTTGATTAAATTTGGTGAAGGAAATTTCTTCACAGGGAAGGAGTTTTTTAATACCAATGAAATCACAGATTCAGAACAAAAAAAAAAATGCTTCAGGCAGGGATTGGACAAGATGACCTCAGGTTTTGCTGAAGAGGAAAAGAGCAATATCTTAGAAAAAGCATTGGACAAGGCATTAGAAGGCCTGTGTTCATATACTAGATCCACCATTAGGCATAATGACAAAAGCTTATATTTGTTTGTTGATTGAACTTCAGGTTTTTAAGTCTTTCACACATTAGTTCGCTTGAACCTTACAAAAGCCCTTAGAGATAAATATTATAAATAATATCTCTACAAGAGGAACTTCAGGCTGAGAGGTGACACAATTTACCTAAAAGGTTATATATCAAGTAAGTGGCAGAAACAGACTTATACTCAGGTCTTCTGATGTCAAGTTTATGTTGCTAGGTGGCTCAGTGGATAGAGTGCCAAGCCTGGAGTCTTCCTGAGTTTAAATCTGGCCTTAGATACTTCCTAGCTGTGTGACCCTAAGCAAGTCACTTAACCCCATTTGCCTCACTTTCCTCATCTGTAAAGTGAGCTAGAGAAGGAAATGGCAAACCATTCCAGTATCTTTGCCAAGAAAATTCCAGATGGGGTCAGACATTACTGAACAACAACAAAAAATTCATGACAACAATTGAAATTTATATAGAACTTCATGGTTTTCAAAGTGCTTTACATACATCTTTCCATTTCAACCTCACCACAATCCTGCAAGGTAGGTAATGGGAGTGTCATTACCTCATTTTATAGATGAAGAAATGGAGGCTCAGATGATTCAATGACTTTCCCAAGACCAAAGAGCTTGTAAATGGCAAACATTCCAACCCAGGTCTTTTTGCTTTTAATCACAACCTCTCTTGGCCTTTCTTAGCTGCAAAATGGTAATTTGACTAGATGAGCTCTACTGTTCTTCCCCACACTGATGTTCTAGGGTCTTAAGTCCATTTCAACTCAGAAATTGTGACTATGATTTGACAAATGTCTACCTTGCCACCAAAATAGCAGCTAAATTTCATGTGGAGGAAAGCAATGGAGCTACTGTTCCCATTCCCCACCTCAAGGGATTCCTACAAAGCAATCTTCTGGCTCTTGGCTGATGTTAGAGTTTGAGGCTTTAAAAAGATTGGCCTGGAGATGTAGTTTGGTATGGGATTTGGCCTGGAATTCCTAGAGTTTTCTTGTAATTTTTTTTTAGGCAATTGGGGTTAAGTGACTTGCCCGGGGTCACACAGCTAGTAAGTGTGAAGTGTTTGGTCTGAGGCTGGATTTGAACTCAGGTACTCC